AAACAGATGCCCGAGCCACCTCAGCTGGCTCCTCTCGATGTGGAGGAGCAGCGGTTCTACTCTGAGCTCCTCCCGGGTGACCGAGCTCCTCACCCTATCTCTAAGGGTGCGCCCGGCCGCCCTGGGGAGAAAGCTCATTTCGGCCGCCTGTATCCAGCATCTTACACTTTCGGCCATGACCCAAAGTTCATGACCATAGGTGATTAACTTTGGGAACTTTATAATAAAAGAAAAAAAATCCAATAAACTGACATGTATTTGTATGGATGTAAGAATGCATGTATGTATGTACAGTGTGTATGTATGTATGAATGTAGCTTTGTTTGTGTGTAAAATACATATATTCTGGGAAACAGATTCTTCTTGGTGCTGTTCTGTTCATACACACGCACGTCTGTATTTGTAGTCTTGTGATGACCATCATGAAAATGTGCTGCATCTAACCAAACATTAACACTGGCCTAATTCAAACCTTAACCCTAAAGCAGCCTTTTTGAAAATTAAGGACCAGATGACCAGAGGTGGCAAAAGTACACACATTTGTTGCTAAGTAGAAATACAGCTACCTGTGTAAAAACAAACTCTGGTAAAAGTAGAAGTACTATTCAAACCGTTACATAAAAGGAGCTCTTCGAAGGACATTTCTACCAGTCTCTGTTCAAACCTAAGTGAACCTCACATCATATTCATATACTGTATTTCCAATATTATTAAACCATTCCAACTTCAAATAAAATAAAACAGTACACATACTCAAGACAAAGTCACAGCCCTGTTTGCAATTTGCCAGTTTTCTGCATAAATTGATTATGAAATGTGATCTGATCTTCACAAATGTCAAACAATATTTCTAAGCTGATAAAACAGTCCTGATCTTTCTGGTCTTTGAGCACACCCATTAAACATACACAGTGATGGCGGACAACATCATAACAACAGTGTTTTAATAACTGGTTGAACCACTTTTGGCAACAACATCCTCCAGCCAGCGATTCCTGTAGCTGTGGATCAGACCTGCACAATGTTCAGGAGGAGCTTTGGACCAGTCTTCCTGAGAGAGCTGCTTCAGCTCAGCCATATTCCTAGGACGTCTGGTGTGAACGTCTTCAGGTCATTCCAGAGTGTCTCTATTGGGTTGAGATCTGGGCTCTGACCGAGCTGCTCCAAAAGGAGGATTCTGTGTCTCTGAAGCCATTCGGTAGGATAGTTACTCTGATGTTTACCGCCATTGTCCTGCTGCATCACCCAGCCTATTCTGAGCTTCAGCTAGCCGACAGCCACCCTGACATTATCCTGTAGGACACCTGGATAAACAGGGGAATTCATTTTTTCTCTACAGTAGCAAGTGGTCCAGGTCCAGAGGCAGCCCCACATCATGATGTTCCTCCACTGTACTTCACTGTTGGGATGATGTTTTCATGCTGACACACAGTTGTCTTTTCATGCCGTATGTAGTGCTTTGTGTTCTTCCCAGACAGTTGTGCCTTGGTTTCATCTGTCCACACAGTATTTTTTTTCTTGTAGTTCCGTGGAGGGTCAGGGTGGTCTTTGGCTGCTGCAGTGTTGTTTTTGGAGAGCAGTGGCTTCCTCCATGGTGTTCTGTCATGAATACCACGCCTGTTCGGTATTCTGCGTATGGTTGACTCATGAACAGAGATGTTAACCGGCTCAGCAAATCAACAGCTCCTGATCGTAGCTCTTCTGAGATCTCTTTTTTGCGAGGCCTGGCTCACATTAGCTGATGCTGCTTGTGAGTACAGATACTTGTGTTACAATGTAAGGAGTAGAAGTAAAAAGTGGTCAGAAAAATACTCAAGTAGAAATACCTGAAAAATCTACTTGAATACAGTTTTTGTTCCTTACTTCCCAACTCTAGAGAAAATAATGTACTGACAGTGCTACAGGAGCACATACATTTGTTGACATACACACTACAGTAACACACAGCAGCAGCATCTACTGAGGCTTAAATCCCCTTTATATGATCCTATTTCTAACCAAGTCGCTCTCATGTCCTAAACTCATAAAAGGTCCTCAAGCTGCAGTGTGAAGGTCAGAGAGTATTGTTTCTAGAGCTGTGCTAGTTTTCTTGTAGTCATCAATCCTACTAGAACAGTAACTGTGCTGAGAACCACAATAGCTTTATTCATTAAACTGAACCATGTTAAATCTTCGTCACTGTCTGGAGGCAGAGGAGTGACCTTGTTGTTCAAGTGCTACTCTCCACTTGTGTTCTTACGAAGGCTCCTGTCTTGTAGTTTCATAAACTTAAGTGGCCAGCAGTGCGTTTGTGATCATGTGCTACTTTAACATCAAAATCCAGCTCAGAGATCCTTGAAAAGAAAATAGTGACTTCAAATGAAGGTACATGGCCGTAGTCAGTGGTTTTGAGTTCAATAAGACAAAGACTAGAAATCGAGACGTTAGTATAACAATATCCGTCATGACTCTGCATCAGTTCTAAAGTCAGACAAGTCGGAAAGCACAAAATGACACAAACAAATGAAGCATTACTGTGACACAATTTCTAACGTCTTTAAAAAGCCTCTAGCTACAGCTGCTGGAGGGGGCGATTCACTCTTACACTCCAGTGATCAAGACCTGAATGCCCCAATTGTTGCGATAATCATCTGCCCTCCGCTTGTCGTCCTTTTGCTCTGAGATTTCATCCTGTAAATCAAATAAATACGAGAGACACTCAGATCATATCTGAGGATCCAGAGCTTTAAACAAGTGAAACCTCATTATACAAAACGATGGACACCAAAAAATTAAAGCACTTTTTGAGTTGAAGTGATGACTGCAGTCTTGTATAATTATACTTGGGTGTTCACATACTTCTGCAGAGTCTGTGCCAGCCAGTTAATGGCAAAGTTTTCTTACAAAACCAGATAACCATCATTTTCATTTCCCTCACTGCAGAGTGTGTGGAGAAGAGCAACACCCCAAAAACAATAATCGGAACAAGCTTCACCTACTCTAAAAAACAAGGGAAAAACCCCGTCACAAATGAAGTTTAAGATGACAATCAAATTATTTAGGTACTATTTAACTGTTTTTGTGTGAGTTGCAGTGAAAGTGAACACAAGGCATTTAACTTTGTGCTCATCTATAGTCCTTTACACAACACTTATGAAACCATTAACTCAAAAGTGACGGAGCTACAGTCTGGTAACCGTTTGCCTTACAACAGTTACATATCCGAGATTACTAAGCTCTGAATTTCAGGTTGTATTAAAACCTAAAAATTGTCACTGGCATCTGTGGAAAAATGTAAATATTGTGAATAATCTTCCATAACTGCTGAAACAAAGAATATTTCTACTCTACCTTGACTGTGTTCAGTTTTGGGTCCAGGAGGTTGAATAAAGGTGAAAGCTTTCAGTTAAAAAGTGTTTCCGCCCTGGTCTGCCTTTACAACGAGGCCGACCTGGATAAATAAAGGTCAAATTCCAACACAAGGGCAACGAAATTAAAACATTTCACTTAATAAAACTTTATTTAGCTACAGTGTTCACTGTTTTATAAATTGAGATGACATTTGACTCAGCTACAAGATAAGATTAATACCACAGCCAGAAATCAGCATTTAGACCAGTACAGGCCGTTCTTAAGAATCAGACACAGTTTTATTCACACAGACAAAGTAAAATATGTTTAATCTGTAGATTTAAAGACTTTTAAGGCAGCACCTGAGAAACTGAGTCCAGGGGATAACGAGAGGAGATGAAGTGATAAATGAAAAGGAAGGGTGCACACAAAGTTCAACATATAAATACAATCATTAATATAGTCTCTGAGCAGCTCTTCACACCAACTAAGCCTTTATATGCACAGCATCATTAGCAGGAACCGAGTTGGAGATGGTGTATTCATTAACAGAATTCACATTCCAGACATCCACTAAAAGGTTAGATGGTCGGTGACCGATCCTTTTAACTCTGGACACTTTGTTCTTTTTACTTTAACACAGAATCGCAAGGCTGTGTGTAATGCGTCAATTGTAGTGCTGAACCTGGCAGGAAATATCACCAGCTCTGCACCTCTACAGAACTTTTAGCCTTTTTTTAGTTCATCGTTTTGGATTTCCAGTTGCTCATAAACTGGTACGGTTGAGTGCTGTGGTTCATACTGTGCCTAATTGTTTGCCGACGTGTTAACCACAATAGCTCATTTTGGTCACTTTCTGTGTTTTAGTTGTTCAGTTTAACTTCAGGTGGTGCTGTAGAAGCAAAGACAAACACAAAACAACTGGAAAATGCAGCTGTTTTGGAGCCAGGTGTAGATTATGAGAGAGGTTGAGTCACATTTCAGTTGTGCACTAACCTTCAGTATTTGCACTGCAGCGGTTATACTGTGTAGCCACCAAGCCCGACATGAACAGCTTCATGTCCAGTAATAATCAACTTGACAGGTCCACATTAAATAGCTGTGATAATGAGGTCCTTCATTACACTAATTAATGCATTAATTAGCACATATTTCCCTGTCAACATACATCAGCTTCTTTTAACATCCAATAACAAAATGTCAGCTGTCATTCACTATCATGATGAACGTCAGTCTGTTATTGTCACTGGTTTAGTCAGATACCGAGATGAAAAGTTTGTGTGTTGAATACTTGTTTACAGCTCTTTTGTAACATTAATACTCCTAGTCAGGTGGGACTTTTGAAAAATTTTAGAGGCACCCTCATTAAGAGTTAATGGGACACAAAATCTCCAGGATCTGAGCGGGTCTGGCTGTCGCCAGTCAACTTCAGCCAACTTCAGTGATGCAATGAGCTCTGAGGCTGCATCCACAAGGTCAGCGCACAGTTTGGAGCTCATTTGGGGGCTTTGGCCAGCCTTCCACAGTAGACTGTTAACCAGATGGTCTGTTGTTTGTTTAAAAAGACAAATAATAATAATAATAATAATAATAAAAAAATCAATAGCACATCACCCAATAAAAACCTTTTTAAAGGCACAAAAGATCAGAAAGCACAGGGCAACTTGGCAGGGGTTGGAGGGCAACACTAATGTGTGTTGTTCAGGAAGTACTGGGACAGATGTGTATAATTCATCTAAAGAGCCACTAACAATTTAATTATTTTGGGGCTTTTAGTGGTGAGCTTTAGTTGGCATAATGGTCTTAATGCAGTTCTGGATGCTTTTCCACTGTGACAAAGCAAATCATGGAGGAAACTGCCAACTCTCAAGACTACATGTGAAAAAGAAAAGGAGGAGGAAGTGAGGAAAAAAAAGTAGAAAAAAAAAAAAAACAGAGCTCAATGAGGAAAGACAGACTTCATGGTGACCAGAGCAAAGACATAGGGTGAAGGTCAGTAAGATGAGCAGACAGTCGGTAAGGACGGGATAAAGTGTCTTCATAAAGAGAAAATGTGCAGTTTGGCAGAGCTTCAAGCAAACACACAGTTTGCTCTGAAACCTTTCTTCTACCTACATGCTGACAAGAAGAGGTAAAAGGGTGTCCACAGACCACAACAACAAGTTAAGAAAAGAAGAAATAACTCACACATTTAAAAAAGTTTCCCATTATAAAAAACATAACCATCACTCGTTGAATCTAAACCATTGGCTCATCATCGCTTTCTTCACCTTGCTCAAGCAGTCCCTGTACAGGCCTCAGGGTGGAGGACAGGATGGGGGAGGAAGAAGGAGAGGGAGGGGGAGGAGTGGAGGAGGGAGGGACTGGGGGAGGAGTGGAGGAGGGGGGAAGGGTGAGGTTGCTGCAACTCCTACTGCAAGCTCCGGCGCTGCTGCTGCTAGCACTTCCGCCGCCGCTGCTCTCCTCCACCTCCTTCGTCAAGTCCTCGATCCACACCTCCGTTTCATTCTCATGGTGATGATGATGATGGTACTGATGGCGGTGCTGAGGGGGGGAAGAGGAGGAAGTCTGTTGAGCGGTTGGAATTGAGGGAGAAGAAGTGGAGGTTGAAGAGGAAGGAGCAGTGGCAGAAGAAGGTGGAGGTTTAGAGACTGAGTTGTGGTTGTTGATGTCGCGAAGGCTGGCAAGCGGAGGGCGGAGTCGGACACCGGAGCGTGTGGAACCCTCGATGGCTTTTTGGAGCTGGAGGAGGAATGGACGAGGAGATAACACCAAGGGGAGAATGTTAAGAAAGAGGCAGAAACATAAGAGCAAAAGAAAATAGGAAGCAGGGGACAAAGGAGAGAAAGAAAAAAGAAATTGATAGGGCGGAGGAAACGATTAAAGCAAGTGAAAAAATGAAAGTAAAAGGGCAGAGGAGCGACACAAGAGGCAGAGATAGAGACAAAGACAGAAGGAATGAAGTAAATCCAAGAGAGCCGAGACGTACAGAGGGGATATTGATTATGCTAACAAAACACACATAACACATAATTCACAAAGCTTAGTCCAAGCAAATCAGGAGTAAAAACCATTGGATTTTTTCCCCCTCCACAGACAAGAGACGAGGGAAGACGTCTAAAAGTTGAGTATTTAAAAAAAGGAAGAGGGTTTTTTTGGACTTAGATCAATGGGACTAATTTCATTTACAGCTTAGCTTTGTGTTTCAGGTGAATTTCAACAGGGAGAGTTTGGGTTTAGACAGAAAAAAGCAGAAATGACGTTTCCTACCTCTTTCAGTGCCACCACCCCCACCAGTTTGCCGATACTGGTCACATAAGCATGACTAAGCCCCAGCAGTGAGAATAAAGTGTGAGTCTGTGGAGACAGAAAGGACACAAGTAAAAACACAACAAACGTGCACTTCCCACAGCAGCACAGCCTGTGTACATCCGTCTGCAGCTCCAGACAGTTTCCAGGCTCTGTGCTTAGCTGACACGGTCACAGAGACAATGAGGTCATAGCAGACTGGCCCAAGGCTCCGGGTGAACCACAGAAAGAAGAAGTCATCCTCGAGTGCGTTTCCATGCACAAAGTATTCAGATCATGCTCTGATTAAGGTCACACTGTGGATGAACTCTTTGTATGCATCAGCACATCTCGATCAAAAGGCCCTTTTACACATGAATGAGCAGAGCATCCTGATATTACCATGAGAATGAAATTACACTGATAACGAAAATAATAAAATCTACTGTAATGGAACAAGCTCCCTGCACAACTAGTGAAACCAGCGTCCTGCAAAACCTGGATCACCTTCAGACTTCTCATTTGATTGCACAATACAGAAAATACTGCGGAAGGAAAGTGGAAACATATTACTGGGATTATAATGTGCACGTAAAAGCACTCAACATCAATAGGCAGCAAATTTACAGCGTGCTGTTAAAATCAGCTCAGACATACACGGGATGTTTGGCTGGTAAAGACACAACCCTGGGATATGAACTCTGATGGCACAAAATAAGGCTAAATACAGGAAATATGGAAACTAATTGAACTGAGGTGATTAAATTCAATTTGCTTCCCTCAAACACTACAGAAAATTTTGAAATGAACTAAAAATATTTCAACAACTATTCTCTTAAGTGTTTGGCTGCATCACCATGTGAAGTTGGCCTCAGTTGAAACCTCACATTACATTTACTGCAACAGAAAACCACCACTCACCTACTTTCGAGTGGCTGAATTAGAACAGTTGCAGATTCTTCCTGACCAGCTAAGTGTGACTGAGTTTTACAAGCAGCTGATTACAGTGGTAAAGTAAATCAAACACACTAGGATGTAAACTTTTGCACAACACTGTGGACTAAAGCAAAACTTATGGTTAGATCACCAGCATTTCATCTGATCTCAGCAGCTGAGTACAGCTGCAGCACTTGAGCTGATTTTTGGTTTGGGTGGGTTAACGAGTCAAGTTTCATGTATGCTTTCTGTGAAATGAGCAACATCCGTGGCTCCAGCAGCAGCATCTCCAATCAAACTCAACAACCAGAAACTCCATCGTGTTACACACAGTGAATATGAAATTAAATATGGACCAGACTGAACAGCCCCCACTCCCCGACCAACTGCTGTGTTTGATCGAGCCACCTCTGGGTTTGTACTGATCCACTGACAGGAGGTACATGAATTGTGAAGCAAAAGATGTGGGTGCTTCTTTTGTTTGCCTGCATGGCACAAAAAATGGTTTTAAAATGGAAGCTTGCCTCACGCCGACAGTTGATGAATGAAAACTCCATCTGAAGCCAACAGGCACGACTGTCACATATAAAAGTTTGGGCGTTTATGTAACCACCCCTCTGCCTCCTGACTACTGTAAATAAGATTTTAATCTTCAGTCAAAGAATTAAAGGCAGCTGTGTCTGAGTGAATAAATCTCCAGTCTGTTTTTCATGTACCATTACCCCTCTGTCAAGGTTATCCACATGCCCAGCTGAATGAGATGTAACTGAAGTAAACAAGTTAAGGAGCTGAATGTGGCAGCATCAATAAAACACTTGACGACTGCTCAAGGTGGTCAACTTTATTTATACGCTTCTTTGCTGGTATAATACCTGTTACAGAAAAACAGACACTTGTCTTCAGTGAATTTATACTTGGCTGTAAAATCGACTGCAGGCTATCGGCCCAAGTCATCTCATGAAAAATATAATCCAATACATAATATATGTGAATGAAAATGGAAGAAACACACAATATTTTCTTTGCTTCTTAGAATATTTTTATGCTCGCTTGAGATCTTTTGCCGTTTTAAATGATACACTCCAAAGACGTACCAAATGACATTGGGTATGAAGTTGTTGAATAAGCTCGAGCACAGCCTCCTATCAGGTGCCACTTACTGTAGCTGCTAAGTGAAGAGGTGCCTGGTGTTTACAAGTGGTTACAAGGACTAATGTGATAGATGTTTCCACTGAGAACGGTGGTGAGCATAAATCAGTACTGGTTTCAGAAGCAAATTCACGGCCACTGCACGTCCCCAGAGAAATTACAGAGCCCTTCAAATGACCTTCAAAGAAAGCAAAGAGAATTTTTTTTCCTTGTTGAGAAATTTCCAAATTTACCATGGAAGAAATGAGTCTATAAAAATAATTTCTAAATGTGTTATATAATATTGGCTTCATCTTGTCAGTAGGTAAGGGGCTTTCTCCACCAACCTTGTGTAATGATGTTCTCTCAACCAGCTGGAAAGGCGACGGGTCAATTCGAATCTCATCTATTTCCATCGGCTTGTCCATCTCTGCCTCTTCCCAGGCTTTGACCTACAGCGGCAAATAAGGAGCAAGGTCACAGAGGTGAACAGACCGGCATAAGTCCAGAGTCGTTCTCGTCAGTCAGAGGGACACATCAGGATTTGGTTTTATGCGTGATATATACAGTTACCCATAAGGTCTGTACAACAGTTATCAGCACTGAGCGTGAATGTGTGTGTGTGGCTGGCAGTTAGCAGCCACTGAGCAGTTTTGCAGCTGTGAAAATCCTTGAAACCCTGTGCTGTGTCCTTGCATGTCACCAGTTTCCACTCTGCAATTTAGGATGTCTTTTAGCCTTTTAGCCTCTCTATGGATTTTACCTGCTATAGCCTGCTCTGACAGGGGCAGCAGTCATGTAGGATTTACAGGGTGATGTCAGTAAACTGTAAAGCATTCGTTTGAACTGTTTTAACGGTCCTGTCTGTCTTGGCAGCACCAGTTTTGGCAAGGAGAAAATCAGAAATAGTAAAAAGGGAAACAGTTAACTGATAAATGCTGAGAGGGACACAACTCAGAATAAAAAGGTTCACACAGAAATGTGCTTAGAACAGCTGCAATTATCTTAATGCCAACCTGAAAATGTGTTTTTAAATGAATGTCAGTTCATAAAGCTGACAGATACAGGTTACGCTTGTCATTTCTGATATTTTAAAATCTAACGTTCACTTTTTTAGGAATCAAAAGTATATGTCCCCAAATACCTAGTCCTGCTGATAGGTTTGGTTTTATATTCCCTGGCTTTGTGTCTAAGATTTTTACTGCCACCACAATACAACCGAGGAAAATTAGGTTTTGCCTGTGGTGCCAACAGCTTTGAAAAACAGTCCAAACCTTGTGTGAATCATTTTTAAAAGGACTGTTTTTCACAGCAGGTGGAAAGAAGGTCCAACTCAGTGACTTGGACTTGTATGCAGAGGACTCACGTTGGACTAGTGACTTATCACAGATGTGCCAGTATTTTATCACCGTGAAAAAGGACTGTTTTTCACAGCAGGTGGAAAGAAGGTCCAACTCAGTGACTTGGACTTGTATGCAGAGGACTCACGTTGGACTCAAAGTCTAGTGACTTAACACAGATGTGCCTGTATTTTATCACAATTAAACATTTCTGTAAAATCATGGAAGTGTACATCTCTCCTCTTTTACTGTACCTCTTCTGGTGTCATTGTGTCTGACAGAGGAGGAGGACAGGGCTCCTGGAGGCAGAAACAGAAGAGACAGACAAGAGATGAGACGTGTAAGAGAGATTTTACACAAACATCCCGTTACTTCCGTGACAGAATGGATGTCACCTCGGGAACAGGAAACCTTCATCTGAATCTCTCCATCCATATTCAAATCACATCTTAAGACTCTTAAGAATCTAATCAAGAAATATCTTAGATTGAATCTGACAAATTTCAGTAACACATTTTTTGTTATCGGGTTGCTGTGCACATCCAGCAGCTTTGTGAGTACACTGGATGCAGGAGGTGAAATCAAGGCCTGTGACCTGTTTTGTGAAACTGAATTCTGTAGCAATGCTTCCTTCATTCACTCCCCGTCTAGGCAGACCGGCTGCTTCTGACCTTCAAGCAACAAAAATGTTGTCTCCTGTGAGGTTTCTATGTCCAGGGAGCAAACCTTTTTTTGTCAAGCAGTCACACAAACTGAATGAAAGAGCTGGCATGTTCTCTTGTTAGTCGACTCTCACTTGGGCGAATCTATAACTGCATGTCTACTTTATAAGGAGCTGCATGTCTCCTTGCTCAGAGAATGCAACAGCTGTGAGGTTTCTATGTCCAGGGAGCAAACTTTTTTTTGTTGTCAAGCAGTCACACAAACAACTGAATGAAAGAGCTGGCATGTTCTCTTGTTAGTCGACTCTCACTTGGGCGAATCTATAACTGCATGTCTGCTTTATCTTTCTTATTGTCACTGCAACCATCAATTATACTAACACAAGGATCAACGATAATAAAGCTCAATGTTCCCTGTCATCAGTGGCTGTATTGTAGACAAATATCTAATTCACAGTCAGATTTTACCCATGCCACATGCAGGACAGGGCTCCTGGAGGCAGAAACAGAAGCAGTGGGCACAACAGAAATCAAATTCTAATCTTTCAAGTTTACAAGCCCATGCTCATTTCCAATGAGGTTTTCATTGCTGCTCATATAAACAGACAACATGTATTGCTTTCCCTGTGAGCCAGGCTCACCGCCAAGCAGAATAATAACTCTGCCTCCAGTGTCTGGCCTCCATAAAAGAGGAGAAAGATACTTGACTTTGGGGAGTTTGTCTGAGGACAAGGACGCAGTTGTGTATTCATGTGCCTCTGTCAATCAGATAAGTGTTTATCTGCCTGAATAGAAAGCAGACCCCATAATGATAAATTCACCCTACAAAAAAATGATGTACACATATTTATATTCTAGCAGTGCCGGTGTGAGGACATGGTTTTGGGATGGCGCTGGAAAAAGGACGGGGAGTTATCTGCATTTCAAAAGGATCATAATGCAGTTGAAAATTTCTTGGCTGCATTCCCGACATCTCTAAACAGTTACCTGAACAGAAGAAAGGGCACAGAGATTTACAAAGACAAAATAAACAGGTATGTACTGTATTTGACTTCTCCAGTGCCTTTAACACAACCAAGCTTGTCCTGCTAAGAGAGAAGCTCCTGAAGATACAGGCCGATTCCTCCACAACCTCCTGGACCACTACCTGACGGACAGACCACAGTCTGTGCGACTGCAGCGACGTGTCTCAGCAGCACAGGAGCACCACTCCAGACTGTCCTCTCACCTTTCCTCTTCAGCTGGTACACCTCTGACCTTCAGTACATCCTTGAGTCCTGCCATCTACTCAAGTTTGTGTCAGCGGTGGGGAGGATACAAACTACCTGACCTGGTGGAAAGCTTTGTGGTGTAGTGTGGAAACAACCACCTGCTACTGAGTGTGGCCAAGACCAAGTTGATGGCCGTGGACTTCAGGAGGACTAGGACTAGGTCAAACACCATCTTGGATCTCATTGACCAGGTGGAGGTGATGGAGAGCTACAAATATTGGGAGTGCACCTTGACAACAGACATCATGGAGAAGACATCAAATCCCCTCCACAATCTACTGGTCAAACTGTGGAGCAACTTGGCAGAGAGCGCTGCAGGAAGATTATCCTCCTGACTACCCTAACATTGCCCACTGACCTTCTGCTGTGTCAGGACAGAGATCTCCAGTTATCTAAAAATCTAGCTGTTGATGTACTTTAATATACTGTTCCTAGGACATGATCCACCAGACTTGCACGCAGCACAGTGTTTAGCATTGTGTACTGTTTACATATATACTGTTTGCTTATCTTCAGTGTGTATATTACTGCAAGCATTTGTTGGCTCCTTTATTTAAACCTTTTATGTAAATCATCCTTGCTGAGCTACTGTAACAGAATCTCTCACTCTCTCTCTAAACATAAAAAGATGGAAGTGAACAATACTGCCAACATACTGAGAGACACAATGCTTTCTGCAGCTTTAGCACAAGTGCACACATACCTGTGCTTAGGAAGACAGATTAAGAAGTGTACACACCTGTGACTGTCCTTCTGTCTGTCTGTTCTTAGACGTGAACAGATTCCTGAGTGTTTTCCTCACAGACTGCAGAGGACCTTTTCCTGCCACAAAGAAAGAGATGTAGCAGGTGAAAGTCAATAAATTATAGACATGCAGGAAAATTCAAGGCTTGTGGAGAGAACACCCCGACTGCAAATGGAGGGTTTAAGAGACTGACAACCCGAGCAACCCTTTATTGTTGTTGCCTGGATACCATTTCACTGAGAAGACGGTCTGTTGTTGTGTGTGACAGGCTACTGAGGAGTTTACTATGCCACAATAGCTACACACACACACACACACACACACACACACACACACACCATCTGGTTACTTGCATGGCTATGCTGCCAAATCCTCCCTCAGTCCTGTTAGAGTGGTAATGTTATTCATCTCAATCGTTTGACATCTGTTGAGGTCACAGACAAACAACTATGTTCGAGTCAATTTGGAAAACAGTGTGAAAGGCAGGCAAGTTAAAAAACAGGTTTGGTTTTAAGTGTTTATATAGTGAAAACATCTAGGTAGCTGCAGGGCAGAGCTGACTGTAGGGCTTCTGCTCCTCTATATTCAAATGTTGGTTCTTATAAAGAGGATGAGATGACTAGACATGTTATAATTATATGTAGCCTATGGAGTTTTTTTTATACAGTTACTTTATATTTAGTGTTTCTCACTAAACACATTGTGTGTGTATTTGAAGCTGAATTCACCTTCTGGCCGAAAACGATAGTCACTGTTATTGGCCAAGTATGTTACACGCACAAGGAATTTATCTCCAGCACAGAACTGAGGCAGTCGTTTGCGGCACCAACTCTCACACACCGATGGTGGCACTGTTCCTGCAAGGCGCAGCTCTGGCCATCAGCCAGAAACTTGGGGTTCAGCGTCTTTCCCAGGAACACTTCGACATGTGGACTGGGGAAACGGGGATCAAACCCCTGACCTTCCAGTTAGGGGACAGTCGCTCTACCTCCTGAGCCACAGCCGCCCTTATATTTCAAATATTTTGCATCTTGCATTGCGTTCACATATATAGATCCATATTAGGGAGATGTGATGAGATGTCTCTCACTATGAACTAAACCCCAGAAAACCCACTCTGAATAAAACAAAACAAATCACGCTAGTTTTGATTCACTCATGAAACAGAAGCAAAAACCGTTTTCTAGTTCACACTTGTGTGCATATTAGATGAATAAAATCCAACAAAATGGTCACTCGCTCATCAAAACACTGCTGAACAGGGCCGACCATCAACCATTTATAAAACCACCGCGAAACAATCGCCCCCTGGTGGCTGGCTGCAGTATAGGTCATAAAGTGGATGGGACACGAGACAATAAAAACTCAAAGTACAAATCAAATAAATTTTTCTTAGATGGCAGCCGCCATATTCACAATATTGTGGCTTCATTTTTGCATAGCGGAGGGAAATGGTGATGCCATGTCCATCATATATATATGTCAACATGGCCAACTGTCAAACACACCACAGGCTTCTTTAAGCAAAGTGACACATTCACAAGAAGAGACATAGTTCATTACATAGCTAAAATGCATGGGTCATGGTGGGTTGTTGTGTTAACGTTGATTAACATTTGGACCGTTTATTTCTGTTTCTCCTTTACCAACAAGATGTGTTTGTCTCCTCTGGGCTCTGATGCACTTAACACTTATGAGAACCTGGTGAGCTCCACACACCATCTGGGCTCTGACTAAATACTTAGTCACAGCAGTTGACATTCTTTTGAGGTGAAGTAGAGGAGACAAGGCAAAGAATAAATCCTATTACATCACTCTATTGGACAAAACCTGTCTGAAGAAACCAATATTACTATGACAAGCCCCATTAGGCATCCGTTTCCCACCCTTGCCTCTATGTCACAAGCCCAAAGGTGAAAGAGAGCGAAGGAAGAGAGACCAGAAATTAGTTTTCACATTAGACTCGACATTAGGGCGGCACTTCAGCAGAAACCTGATTTGAGGGTTCACAAGACGGCAAACTGGAGCAAATAAGGCCTGTGTCCTTCGCTGACCTGGAGGAAGCTGCCCATGCTTTTATTACATTCTGTGGTAATTCCACTCATTCCTTCCCCCAGAAGCAGATAGTGCAAACAGCAACAGCGGTGGTAGTATATTTGTTTTTTTTAGAGATAAATGGCTATTATGTCTCCATAAAAAAAGAACAAGACAAAATAAAAATGTGCCCAGAAATGGAGTGTGCTCTCATCTCACCAGGACCAGGAGCAGTGTGATTTGAGGAAGGCTCCTGGGGTTTTGGGGGAGGCAGGGGACCGTTCCTCTCCTCCTGCACCGGAGTGCCCTGCACACAACAAGAAGTGCTTCTTAAACCTCATTAATAAAGCACTTTCCTAAACAAATTGCATAAGATAATAAAAGAATGTTTTAATATGAGTCAGCGATGGTTTACACTAAAAACAAGTTGTAGTGCCTTCAAAAAGCTGATAAAAACATAGAGTTAAACTGGAGAGAGATGGCCACAGAGCAGCAAGCCAGCACGTTATTATCCATCTTCTACTGTTAACCCTGAAAATGGAAAGAACACTAACGGCTTGAAAACCAATGTGAGAAATCAGAGCCCCACCTTTTGTCCATCCTCCTCTTCCTCCTCATCTACAAAGGCCAAGGACTCCCAGCTGTGTCTCTGAGACTGCTGCTGTCATCACATCAAAACTGAAATCAGTGTGAACTCCAAACCACAGCACTACGTTTAACACTTGTGCTTTATCATAAGTTGTGTGACCTCACTCAGCTTAAACACTAATAACAAATCTGACACACAGATTTGATGTTTCTACTTTTAGGTTTCAGCCAGATGGCAGCAGCCTTACATAAAACAATATTTACATATCTCATTTTAGTGCTTCCAGTTTGCATGGGTCCTCTTCATGCTGCCAAAACATTTCAACTTGTACAAGACATACCCTCACCTGCATCAGGAGCCTTCTCTCCGGTGACAACCACCAATCACAGAGAGCCAGAAGCTCCAACCTGTCAATGCTGCCCAGGAGGATCATAGAATCTGGAAGCAGGAGGAAAAATTACGTGGCCTACCACACAGAGTTCAACAGCGACTGCACTACCGTGTTGGTTTGATTGATACATTGACAAAATTATTCTTCACATACATGAAGTTTAAACTTGGAGACTAGTATTTTGATCTGTGTAGCTTAGTGGTACAAAAGGTAGCAAAACTAAGATTTGCCTTTCACCTAATTTTTCAGTCCGTTTAGTTTTTTAGGATTAGTTAACTCTTTACCTTTTGAGTCGACCAGCGGGATTGATTTGAGTGAGGAGGAGTCCAGCAGGAGTTTGACTTCTCTGTAGGTCGACCGAGACGATATGAACTTCACCTTCCTCACCATGATGTCTTCGACAAAAATGTTGTACTGGCTGTGGGGCGGCCACACAGACAAAGACAGAAACTACTGACGTTTACACATTTCCAAGGAATATGTGCAAATTACACTGTGAAACAAAGAGGCACCCACAGAGCACTCTACAAGCAAACTACCCTATCATTAAGTGGAAGGACAAATTGCATGTTTCAGTGTTTAAAACTGACACTGCACATGTACATCTCGAAGGTCCAGTGTTATTAGAAGACTCCTGATCTGAAAAATCCAAATTGGAAATCCTTTCATTTGGCTCTTGCCGTAATTTCAAGTGTATTTGTTTAAACTCCTAATTTTTCAAATAAATGCTTGTTTATTTTTTCCTGCCTGAAGCTGCAAGAACAAAGCCATCTTCTAAACACTGAATTGGCAGCACCGCAGCGGAGGAGGGCCACTGTTATTACCCCTGATGAAAACACCTGATGTGTGAACTCAGCACAAACCTCATGTGTCCGAAGCCGAGCTCCGGCAGGTATGGCAGCTTCTTGACCTGGATGATGGAGTCGTACAGGGAGGGCTGCAGACCCTGGGCCACCATGTTGGCCAGGATCACTGCCACCATCATGGGCAGGATGTGGGAGATCTGGCCAGTCAGCTCAAAGCAGATAACCGCCGTGGACACTGTGTGAGTCACTGCACCGGTCATCGCTGCTGCTCCTGTCAGAAAATGGTTTACATCCAAATAGTGAAAATTTCAACAAAATTTTCCAAAACTTGGCGAAAAACAATGTGAACGAATGTGCACTTTGTTGAAACAAAGGCAGTGGTGCTAATATTCCAGCTGGGTGCCATTAAAACACTGCAGAGGAAGAGGGTGCACAGTGTGCCAGTCCAAGCTCAAAAGATTGGAAAAAAGGCGTAGAAATCATGATGAATATATGGCATTTCTGTTTGTTTCAGGTATTTATTTGAGGAATGATACACGCTCCTCCTCACTCCACACAGATCAGTTTTGGTCTGCAATAACAGAAGAATAAACAGGATGAAACAATGAGAAGGAAGGGAAGGAGAAAGGAAGGAAAGAAGGAAGCAGGGTGAAAAGAGGAAGGCGGACTGAAGGAAGACCTTGTTTCTGGGTCAAAGGCTGAGGTGAGGACAGCAGAGGGAACCCACAGTGACATTTAACTGTCCGAACAAAGCAACCACATGCTCTGATGGAGAAGAGGAGGAGACAGAAGGACAAAAAGGGATGGGATTTGGGGAAGATTTAGTTGGGGAGGACAACAAGCAACAACTGGAGGGCCAGAGAGGTTGAGAAAAGAGGAGGAACAGAAATGAGAGCAGAGTAGGGAGGGGACATCTTGACCACTGCTGACGAGCTGAGGCTGCAGGAGTCTGAGTTCAGGAAGAGAAAGAGAAGGATGGGGTGAGGCAGTGAGAGAATGTGCCTTGGTAGCATTATACAATGTTAGGTCTCAGGTTCTCAAACTCTGCAACAACTAGTCATAAAATGAGGCTGAAGGAAGGTGAACAAAAGGTGCACTTGCAGACACACTGAAACTAAGGAGAGGAGGAGAGGGAGACTAACCAATGACCGCGTACCCTCCAGGGATGATGCGATAAAGGATGCCGTCAAACACAATCCCATGAGGAAACAGGGTGGCCATGATCTCTCCCACCAGCCGTCCGAAGGCAGCTCCTGCAAGAGGCAAAAAAAAATCCTTTCAAACTGCTGCTTTACTGCACAAGAATTTAATAACTGACATTTAAATGTGAATACTTAATGGCATGAATTATGAGGCATCTGCATGAATAATGCAGACAAACAAACCAATGACCAATAAATCTGTCAGCCTCTGCCTTTAACGGCATTTCTGAGTGATTGATATCACCAGAGCAACTGAACTGAAGACATCAGTGTCTCCATGACTCTGCTCTTCAGTAAAAGCCAAGAAGCCAGAGAAAATGAGGCTGCACAGAAAGCAACATCCTATCTGCAACAAAAAGCCAAGAAATACAAAATGCCGCTTTGTTACTCCGTATTTTAGGTATTTGTTTGCCTATTTCCACCTTCTTTAGATGGTGGACAGAGAACCCCTAACACTGACCAAAACATCTCCCCTGCAAGAAAGAAACATGTAATGGCCTCGTTTAAAGAGTTTATAAAACTTTTATGCTTTCTGCAACTGTAATGTGCGACAGCACAAAAGGCCCCATTTTAAAATCATCAAGAAATACCCACACATTGTGTGCACATGCACAATTGGACCCACCATCTCTGGAGCTGAATTTATTCATCCGAAGTTGTTTACAGCAGGTAATAATGAATATTTTAAGCGAAGCACTGGTAAAGGTCATGCTCTAAGCAAGTCACTAAACAAAAACAAGAGATGAACTGCAAACTACTTCAAATAAACACCAATTCCTAAAATGCTGTTGTGAATAATAAGAAACAGTTTTCAGGAACTTGGCGTACAATCAGTCTGGTTTTATGGAACTGAGGCAGCACAGTTAACCATGCAACTACAGGATACCTCATGATTTCAACTGCTAATCACTGAAATTATGCTTCATCACTTAATAATAATAATCACAAACGCCACACCAAAAGGATACTACTATAGTCAACATCACGCAGGCTCAAAGAATGTGTCCTCACCCAGTATGAAGACGGGCATGAAGGCTCCAGATGGAATGGGCATGGTGGTGGCCACTGCAGACATCCAGAACTGTAGAACAAGACATGTGCGACACTATTTAAAATATTGGTCTGTGAGCCATTATTTGAATTTCATACGACAGGGTGTTCTTCAACCATTAGTAGACCTGGATGCAGCATCTGTGTGTTTCTGCATAGCGCCACACTGATAGTCTCCATATCACACCAGACAGAACACTTTTCATAATAAATGGCACACTGGGAAAACGAAAGCTTCTGTATCCCACATGAGGCTCCCGACAACCACTGTAGGGGCAGATGACTAGAGTAACTCAGATGACTAGCAGCTACACCTGCTGAGAAAGTGACCTTCCTACACACACATTTGACCAAAGTCAAATTCTGTTAAGTTGCCAAACACCATCATCCTCCACTTCCATTTCCCAGCAAAACCAGCAACATCCACCCATCCATTATCTATACTGCTCATCCTGATGAGGGTCACAGGGGGGCTTGAGCCAATCCAAGCTGACACTGGGCAAGAGGCAGGGTCAACCCTGGACAGGTCGCCAGTCTATCACAGAAACCAGCAACATATCTTTGTCATTTTTATCTAATGACAACTGCATCCCACACTATGTTAGTAAGCTAAAGATGTTAGCCTCTTAGCTAACATGGAATAACAACAGCTGACACTGGGCAAGAGGCAGGGTCAACCATACATACATACATACATAGTACTTTGTACTACATATAGTACAGAGAGGGTACAAGACTTTCTAACTTTTTAACCTTTCATCAGTGTGACACATCTCTGTTCAACTAGCAAATGAGTCTCCATCCATCCATCCATTTTCTTCCGCTTATCCGGGACCGGGTCGCGGGGGCAGCAGTCTAAGCAAAAATGCCCAGACCTCCCTCTCTCCAGACACTTCCTCCAGCTCCTCCGGGGGAATGCCGGGGCGTTCCCAGGCCAGCCGAGAGACATAGTCCCTCCAGCGTGTCCTGGGTCTTCCCCGGGGCCTCTTCCCCCTCCTTGAA